AACAAAGGTTTGAGGAGAAAAACCTGTATTCTCCGTCTCAAACCTCTTGCGACTTCGCCACGGTTCAACACTTCAAAAGATACACAAAAACGTCGGCTACACAAGCTAATCTCACCGCGAAATAGGAAGTGGTTGAGGTTCCAGCCCTCAGGGGGAGCAACTAAATTTTTCCTGTTTTTCTCTCTTTTTTTCTTTCTTCGTTGTCTCTCTCTCTCGTGATATATGGTCAAAAGCTCCTTATCATAGCAGAAGTTAGGTCAAAACTACTCGAGCTTAGAGACTGGAACTAATCCCAGTTTCGAATACGTGCATTTCTACTTCCCCAACATCGCAAGTTAACCTTCACCTCCCCCCCCCCCCCCCCCCCCCCCCCCCCCCCCACGCGGCACTGTGTCAGATTTCTCTGACATTCCGCCGGTGCCCAAGTCTCATACTAAGTATGTATAGCACTTACCCACAATTCCCGGGATGGGTCTGGCTTCAGTGATGTCACTCGGCGGACTTTCTCCCTGATCATTTCTGCCGATGGTCCTAAACTGGTACAAGGCAGACTCCAGATTACCAATCTCCAGATCCAAGTCGCCACCCAAGTAATCAATCCAAGATGAGTTCACAAACTCTTCACCCTCCACTAACAAAAAGAGAGACAAATAAACAATTCAGCTTAAAGAGTAAGATGTTTTTTTCGTCTTGTGACGAGTGTGGGACAATCTTTCTCTATTTCTTTACCGAGCTCAAAACTTACCATCTCTCTTATTTCTATCTCCAAATCAGTTTATTACTCCTGTAAAAACGGGGGCTACTTTCTAAACAAACTGTGGCGCTGCGTTGGCGGTGTATCATTACAAGATACTCTGGTTCTAGCAGCTGTGTTGAAACGTACATTTAAACGTAAATTTTTAAGCGTTACCACTTCGATAGTTAAGCAAATTCTCCTAGAAAGAAACCTAAATAATGTGTAAAGATATGCATACTGATGCAAGGATGCAACTTACATTTCTGTCGGTACTGAACCAGGAATTCATGTGTATATCCTCCACCAACAGCGATCTCGCAAATAACCCTGACTTTGTCGATTCCTGTTGGTTCAACCGTGGGAGCATTGTGTTTGGCCGGTGCTGTGAATGAAAAATATAAATAAGATTAATTTTATCATCATCGTGCAAGTGAAGTCAACTCTTCCATGAAGAACACTCTCGTAAGCGGGCAGTTCTACTACGGACACTTTTTTCAATTCCCATTTTTTGCTCCTCAGTCAAACTCTGTATTTACACATTCCCGTAAGCGGACATTTTCTCGTAAGTGGACGCGAACACTTTTCAAATTGAAAATTTGATTTTTCTTTTGATCATGTTCTCTCGTAAGCGGACATCCAACGGTTATTAAATGACTCTGGACGGTTAGGTGGTCTTGAATTTACAAATCAACAAAAATTTGACTTTGACAGAGCAAAAGAGCAGTGGGAGTCGGTTTTGTCAAATCTCCATCTGTCTGCAGGAGCGCAAGCTTTCCGTTCGTTTGACATTAACAAGATTCCAACATAAAACACTCCCGTAAGTGGACATCTACCCTCAAATCAATAATTCCCGTAAGTAGTCAGTCCTACTAACGCACACTCTTTTCAGCTTCCGTGGGTGTCTACTTACGAGATAGGTCACTGTAATCAAAAAGATTTTCCAAATTTGTCGTGACTTACGAGAAATTTTGACTGTTCTTGTGGCTATTCTTACACTTTCACCGTAACCCGGTTCGGTCTTGGCTTGTATTTCGACAACATAGTTTGTCAGTTCTTCTTGTTGTCCAATAAGGTGCCTCCTCTTCGACGCTGCTAACTGTGTCATCTCCACTGGAGTATCCTTAGGCTCTGAACCAGTGTACTTAGCAGATCCCGCTTGGTAATTTGTAATGATTCCATTAGGTTCTGTAGGTGGTTTCCACGTGATCAGGATATACAACGCAAATGCGAACACTTTCACATCTGCCGGGCGTCCAGGAACTGCGGAGGTCAAGTTTCAACAGAAGTGAAAAATGAGTTCTTAGTAATGGAGATGGGTGCATTAAAAACAACGCAAAAGGGGAGCAATTATCCCGTGAGCCGGCCCTCATTTAATATTAGCTTTTCGGCACGGGCGTTTCTTCGTCTGCGGAAAATTATGAGGACATGAGCTACGCAAACCGGCGAGAAATCGGAAAGGGCTCTAGCAGACTCCTAGCAAACATTTCCACGACTTATCTCAAATTTTTCCTCGGACGGATAAACGCGCATCCAGCAGCGCTTATAACGAGAACCTGGAACCTGGTCAAAAGCGTCTGAAGGCGGACAACAAAGCAAGCGACTTAAATTTCCCTGGAAGCCTCCTAACAGCCTCCATGGGTAAAACCGCTGAACTGCACTCGCCTAAGTTGACTTCAGCCTAATTTGAAATCTCAGTCTATTCGATGACTTTCAGGTAGCTTAAATGATAAAAATTCCCTTGCTCTAGTTCCTCATTCCAAATTCCACTTAAACAAAACAAATTAAACTATCACAAGTTTGTTTAAACATACCATCCTGCAGTGTTGCAAGATCTATTTCATCACTCGCTGGGCCCTCCCCTCCGCTGTTAAAAGCTTTGATTGCCATTGTGTACGAGGTGTAGGGTTTCAGGTCGAAAACTGTCGTTTCAGAAGTTGTTCGCCCCTTGACATCAGTAGAGTTCGCATAGCTTGGAATGGCTCGTCTCCTTCTCCTTGCATTTGCCAGGAGGCTTGTGCCCCAGTAAAAAATCTGCAAATTTTTAACACGAGAAAAGATAAGAAAGAAACCTCCAGAGATTATCAGAGGAACTGCAGTGCTGCTCAGATGTTAGTTAACAGTTCCTCGAGACTCGAGAATCAACGCTCAAGACTTGAGACCCAATGGATCATGAATTCATGTTCCTCGAAACTATGATTATCGAAGCTTAGGTAAAGTTTAAAAATGTTTGGAGGTATTTGAAATATTATCGAATCGAGATACATAGAACTTGACGCGCGATTAACTTTTTCACAGTCAACGAAAATCGAACCTCGCAACTTAAATTTCGATTCTCGAACTTCTTAACAATCGAGGGTGGAGTTTCGAGTCGACACAATCAAGTTTCATTCAACATTTAAGTAAATCTACGGAATGTGAATCTGAATTCTTTCCACTTCAGAAATTATCAGGTTCGTTTCAGGCAAGGTTGTCATCATGAGCCAACACCAAATTCTCGTAACTAATTTATAAGGATATGGTAGCAGCTTGAGGACAGAATTAACTATTAGATCTTGGGATTTAAGTGTTTTAAGTCCCTTACCCTATATCCATCGACACTTCCTCTGGACGGGGCAGCAACAGGCTCCCATGAAAGCTTCGCACTGCGTGCCTGTACAATCTGCACCGCTACGTTCTTTGGTTGTCCTTCAGGTGGATCTTGGCCAGAACGGGATTGTTCGATGGCGCTGAAGGGTCCTGGGCCCAAGTTGTTTCCGGCGCGAATTCTAAACTCCCAAAGCTCATAGTACCCAGGATTGTCGACTTTAAAGGTTGAAGCTTGATCAGGCAGTCTGACGTTTTTCCATTGATCAGGAGAATCTTCACTCGCCGGTTCTACGACTTTTCTGTACTCCAATATATAGTAAAACCCAGGACCGCTCCAATAGACCTTTGGCATAGGCTGTCAATTTAAAATGATTTCTTACAAATACTGACTACTATTTCAGTTCAGATGAAAACGGTGCAAGCTCTAAAATGTATAACTTTTCGATTGAATGTCGTAAAACTAGAACCAAAGTAATCATAACTGTCAATACACCTTTAAAGTGTCTATGACGCGAATATTTTGTTGCGCTTTCTGGTGACCAATCATGGTGCTAAGTAGAGCAAATATTGAAGCAATCTGGGAATACTTTCTACACTCAATTGAAATCAATCAATCCATCCAAAAAACACCGGTTAGTCTTCACATTTTAGCCGCCTACTTTAATGTAAAAAATACTCGTGAAAAATCGTGCAATTATTGCAATACCATTGAAGGAATTTACAAAGCAGCAATTTCTTGGTCCAAAGAGAAATTGAGGTCACAATTTACCAGTAATCTTTAAGTGCGACCAATCGCGCTTCTTGTGCGATACAAAATTTGTCGGTGGCCTGACAAAAAACTTGTCCAGTTGCCAGTTCGAAATTGTATGAGCTACAGCGAGTTGGACCCTCACACTTCCAGAAAACCCCGAAGCGTGTGGGCAAAACATCATCTATAAGCAATTATTTTCAGGTCACGTAGTGAGATTCGGCCAATCAAAAGGTACTTACCGTCCAAGCAATATCAAGTTCACCAGCCCTCTTTGGTACTCCACGCAAGTTCTCTGGGAATTTCTCTGGAGCTGTAAGGAAAGCAGACGTGGATCAATATCTATTTATTTTTCTTGCCTAATTCAAGGTGCTGTATAATTATCTACAATACCTCTGCACCATTAATCGCACTCTAGACGAAAGTCACACGAAGCACAAGCTACAAGGGAGCATATGCGCCTGTAGGAGCATCTACACAGCGGTCAGATGCCAAAGAAAACCTGCGCTTAACCTTTTAACCCCTAAGAGTGATTAGCTCCTAATTTCTCCGTACATCATTCCCGAATCCGAGAATAAAGGAAATGATCACCAACTAAAAAAGCTCTTGATTGTTAAACAAATTCTCCCCGTCAGCACCTTGGGAAATGTATAGAGAAGATTATGGAGATTTTACATTCTGATGTTAGGATGTAAAGGGTTAAGGGTACAAAAGCAAGAGAGAAGAGAACACTTAACTTGTTCGAATGCAAAGTTATTTAGTTAAGTACATAATAGTTTGAACTTAATTTTAAAGAAAAAAATTGGCATTTTCAACACAGGATGCTGATGTAGTAGGTCATTAAATTATTGATATTGTGCAAAATCCTGTAGAAACAACCACACAAGCCATCAAATCGCGATGTATGTGAAGCATAAAACCTTTTTTGGTGAAGCTCAAAACAGAATGGTTAATTAACAGGATACCCGTATTTGAATAAGCGGTTTTGTGTTTGAAAATTCTAGAGTTTTCCTTTTTCTCCACTTCCGTTTCCTTTTACAGAATTCTATCAAGCGAAACAGCAGTTGTGGCTTGGTATGTTGCACTTAGAAACTTAGCGCGGGAAATTGGCGCCCAGGCGCCCAAAATTGATCCCCTCGCGCATGCCCTACGTTTAACTGCTGCGTTCGCACACAGAAACACAAACACACCTGACTGAGATGTTCTACAAATTCCAGCCCCTGTGGGTAAACTAGGGCGACTTGGGCCAAAGCTGTTCACAGCTCTCATGCGGAAGCGCAAGGTCGACCAGCCAGTAAGGTTAAGCACGACAGATGTTGCATTAGGATTTGTTACATTGTGGAGGAAAGTGAACACATCTGGTTCATGATTTGATTCCTGTTCAATCAGGAAGTGTAGAATGGGAGCATCATTTGAAGCGGCGGTTGTCCATTTGAGTACTGTTGTCCGATTGATGCACGTTTCCTCATTTATTTCGAGGTTGGTTGGAGGAAATGGAACTCCTGAAGGAAAAAAAAATGCGTTAAGGAGGGTAAGTTTCTAAAAAAACTGCAGTGCTACTTCGGCGGGAGAGTATAACAGGGTAATTTAGTGTTATCAACTGAGTTGATAGCGAAAATTGGCTGATTCCAGATCTGCAAATAGAAACCTCTTGTCAACCGAGTTCGAGGTCTGTACTACTAGTTACGGACTAAGTTTTTTTCCCGCTTGGCACAATATGTTTGAAAGATATCAACTACATTCACTGGTTCAAACAGAGGGGGAAATTTTCAGATAAAAAAAATCAATTTAGTTCAATTAAAAAAAAAAAAAAAAACCAAACCAATTCAGCGGGCCATTCAACGAAATAAGCCCACTAAATTGACCAATCAGTGGCCCGCAAAAACCGTCGATTGTTCTGCCTTTCTTAGCTGGCTACCAGTACCACAGGTGCCACTAACAAAAATACTGAAAGAATTGAAATACCACAAAGAAAATTGAAACAGCTCCCCCTTTAAAGTGCAACTAAATGCATAACTGAGTTTCATGTACCAGAGACGTGTTTCGATGAGTGAATTGATTCTATGTTCAGAATTTGTTCTGGGGATCGTGCAAACTTCGAGAAACGCCTTAGCTATTTAACAGGAAAAGATCTCATTCTTGCATGGCGGAAATCTGACGAATCTTTATTCAGAAGTTAAAATGCTCGGCGGGGGGGGGGGG